GAGGAGGAACGGGAGGCGACCTGCAGGCTGATTTGGGGAAGGGAGCAGAGGGGGGAGGGAGAGTGAAGAGGGAGGAGCTGGAGAAGAGGGGGGCTGCAGAGAGGAAGGGCAGCGGGAGAGGATGGTGATGCGGGGGAGACCTGGCCATGCTGCAGCTGCTAGTTGCTCCCAGGGGCGCGTTGATTCGAAGCCCTGGGAAGCCGGGATCCCTTCTCCCAAACCAGCCTGCGGGTCCCCCGGGGTCCAGGCAAACACTGTCAATAGGACTGGCTGCTCCATCACACATAGGAATGTCTGTCGAAAACCCAGGGCCCCCAAGCCCAACGTGGGGCCCAGTGTCTCCGCTGCCAGGGGCCGGCAGAGCCCCCTGCGTGCCTCGGGCGCCCGGCGCGATGTAATTAACAATATAAAGCCCCAGCGTGTGCCTTCGCTCTCGGCTCCAGGGTGTTTCTTGGACAGCCCCGACTATGGGCAGCATGGAGGCTGGTGTGGGGCTGCCCTCCTGCATGTGCCTGAGACCATCGACGCAAAGAGCCTTAAAGGGCAAATTTCACACCCCTGCTCCACCTGGGTTCTGCTTTTCTCCTGGGCCTCTCACAGCTGAGCCCATGAAAACGGGCCCCTGTGTCCCTTTTGTTTCCTGTCCTGGGTCTTGTGCTCCTGGCCGGCCTGTCCAACCCCCAGCAAGGCAGCTGCAGCCCCCAGAGCCAGGCTGGGCGAGCTCAGACCTTTTATTGAACCAGCTTCTGGTGGGGGAAGAGAAAAGCCTTCGAGCTGCACAGCGTCGTGTTTGCCATGTGACCCCCGCCGCGAGGCCGGCTGCCTGCACTGCCCTCTGCGTGGCAGCCTCTGGCTCCCAGCACCCTAAGACAGGAGCCCCCCCAGGCTAGGCCCACAGGAGCGGCTCTCGCCCCCACCCCAGCGCAGGCTTGCTTGGGCCAAGGAGACCCCGTGGGCTGATGTGGAGGTGGGACGGGCCCTGGGCCAGAGCTGCCTGCAGGGACCAGGGCAGGACAGGAACCTGGGTCCTGAGGCGAGTGCTGTGCCGGGGGGGCTCCTGCCCATCTTGCCCCCAGGCCCTCGGAGCAGCGTCTCCCCCGGGGCATGGGGCACGCGGGGGCAGCTCGTCCCTGCCTTGCCCCGGCCAGCGGGGTCCAGTGTGGGGAAGGAACGGGGACCCCGTGGGCAGCGCCAGCCCTGGGGGTCCCGTGTCTGGGGCTGAGCCGGGGGTCAGGGGGCTGCCCCCCCCCCCAACCACTCGCCCATCCTGGGGGCTGGGCTGGCCCGATCCTGCCCGGGGGGGGGCGCTGCACCCAGCCCTGAGGGGCTGAGACCCCCAGCTATGGGGGAAGCGGATTCCCCAGTTCCAGGGGGCTGCCCCATAGACCACGCCCCCAACCAGGCCCCGCCCCCGCGAGCCCCTGGAATCCTCCCGCAGCCTGCGCCCTTCCCGTCATGCCCCGCGCCGCCGTCGCCACTCTGGCCCCGCCTCTCGCTGGCAGTTCCCAGAAGGCCCCGCGCAGGCCAAGATGGCGGCGCCGCAAGCAGGGCGAGGCGGGTGAGAGCGAGGTCGGGACCCCCCGTCGCCATGGGGCCGCGCGCGCTGGGGCGCTGCGTCCTGCTCGCGCTCGGCGCCCTGGCCTGGAGCCTCAGGTGAGCGGGGCCCGGGAGACCCCCCTGGACCCTCCCTGCCCCCCCCAGACCCCCCCCGGGGCCCCCCCGCTGCCGCCCCCCCCCCCCTACCCCCCCCCCGCTGGGCGCCCCGCCCGCCCTCCCCCCCCCCGCCTGACCCCCCCACGGAGCCACTCTCTGGCCGTGGGGAGCCGGGGCCTGGCGCTGGAGGCCCCGCAGGTGCGGGGGGGGCTGAGGGTTTAGCCGGGCAAACGGGTGAAGCTGCGGGCGAAGCCCCCGTGGTTTTGGCAGCCTGTGGGCGGCCCTGGCCCCCTGGCTGGGCGGGGCCCTGGGGCGGAGCCGCCCCCTTGCTCGGTCCCGAGAGCCCCCCTGGTTTACTACACTGGCCCCTTTCTGGTTTCCTTGCAGGCTGGCAGAGGCGACGGCGTCGAGTGAGGCCAAGCGCTCAGGTGGGTGCCAGGCGATGGAGCTGGCGCTGCTAATGTGCCCATGGTTGCGGGGCCTGGTTTGTGGAGAGCTGGCACCCGTCTGGCCTGCAGGGCTCTTACTGGCAGCGGGGTCAGGGCAGGAGCACGGCTCTTCCTGGAGATAAAGCCCCCGCCCTTGAGCCCCCCGGGGTGAGCTGCGGTGCCATAATACAAGTCCTCAGCTACACACACACACCCTCCCCGGTGGGGTTTATCCCTGGGGCCTCTGTGTGGGACTGAGAATCCCAGCAGAGCGTCCCATTGCAATGAGGATGCACATGCTCCAGATGGGCTAATTCTCTTGTGAGGGGCAGTCCTAGGGGCAGGGCCTGGGGGTGGGTGACTCACTGGGGGCAGAGCCTGGAGCTCCTGGCTCCCCACACTGAGTTTGGGTTTGACCCAGACTCTCTTGGTGACATCGTAGGGATGGGGGGAGGCTGTTGGCCAGAAAGTATCAAAGACCCTTTTCTTGGGGGCCCCCCGCCCTGGCATGTGCTCTGCTGGGGCTCAGTCAGTGTCACTCACAAGCTTGTTAGACTCAGTGGAAACCTGACGAGTGCTGACAGTAAAATCTTTCTTCTGCCTGGGTGTCGTCTGCCCTTCTATCCAAAGTGGCACCTCCTCTCCGCAGCCTGGCCACTCCGATTGCAAGACTCTGAACCCCTCTCCCCTCTCTTCTCAGTGAGCCCGCTGGTGGCCACGCTGTGCTGGCAAGCAGAAGACTTTGTCGTTGTTCAGGATTGTGCCCCATGCACGATCTTCCAAGCAGTAAGTGCAGCTGGGTAGCAGGGCTGGGGGTGGGGGGCTTGCTGTCTAGTGCTGGTGGTTACACCCTACCCTGGTCCCTTGCTTGGGGAGTGCTGCGTGGGATGCACCCTGCCTGGGTCAGCCTGAAGATCCCTCAGGGTGGGTGGGGGGACACCAGCTGTTGTGCCCTGCGGAGCAGAGACCCCTCAGGGCTGGCAGGAGGAATGACACAGCCTGCCCCGCAGAGTGTGTGAAAGTGGGTTTGGTTTGATTGCAGAAGACGATGCCCGAGTGCAGCACGACTGGCTTCATCGAGCAAATTAACTGCGCCGTGTCCAAGAAGGAGGAGTACAGGAGGTAAGCCAAGGCCAGGACCCTGCGGTTCGGTTTGGCTCAGGCGCAGTGTGGGGCGGCCCGGGCTTACTGGGACAGAGCCCGGGGAGTCACATTGGGCTCCTGGGCGTGGCTGCTTCATGCTGTATCCGGAGCACCTCAGCTCGGCGGGGGGGGGGGAGGACACTGCACCTAGCATGGCTATAATGGGGCCCACTGCAGCCAGCCTCCCCTGTAATCCGCTGGCCAAGCTGTTTGGAGCTGCCTGGCTGTGCGGCGCTCTGATCTCAGCCCTGTCGACTCTCTCCTCTCTCTGCAGCTGCCGCTCAGTGGTGACGGAAGCGCACAGCTTCTGGAAGTTCGAGGGGGCCATGATCTGTGTGGCTGTGGTCTTTGCCCTGTTGGTCATGTGCCGCCAGAGGGTGCTGGACAGGAAGGCCCTGGAGAAAGTTCGCAAGCAGATAGAGTCCATTTAGTATCTGTCGACCTCCCAGCAGCCCCGGTGCTGCCCACCTCCTCTGTCCTGTGCGGGGAACTGGGGCACGGATGCTAATCCCCTTTCCCGCTCCAGGGAGCTGCAGGAGGAGGAGACTGGCGTCAGACACCGAGATCTGCTGTGTCCTGGCAGAGAGCACCTCTCTGACCACTTGGGAACGTGGTTCAGCCAACTCAGAGCCACGCCGAACGCCACTCGGCTTGCTCCTTGGAGACTCAGCAGCCGGCTGGGGGTTCCCCTCGGTCCATCTCACCTGCCATGCGGAGGGCCGGGGTCCCATCCCTTCTTAGCCCCTTCTCTCCTGCCGTCAGTGCGCACGAGGAGTCCCTTTGTGACTGGCAGCTCCTGGTGGGATATGGGGCGTGTGCCCAGTGGGGGCTGCCACCTTGCATCCCTCAGAATTAACACAGCCCCCCTCCTTCCGCAGGTTCTGAGACAGTAAACCCTGAGCCTGGATGCAGGAGCCGCCTCTGGGCAGCCAGTGCCCTGCTGTGCTGGCTGTCCAGCCCGATGCAGTGAGGGAGGCAGTTGGTTAATACAGGCCGCAGGCTGGGGCGGGACTTGCTGTCCAGTTCCTGCCGGAGCAGAGCGTGACCCTGCCTGGCTGAGGGGCAGCAAGGGACAGCGCAGCCCTCGAGCAAAGGAGGGACGCCATTGGCAGCGGCTCCTCCGTTCCCTCAGGGTGACGTGTAGTGCCGGGCAGCTGGCTTGTCTGCTCAGGGAGTCCGGCCAGCCCTCTCCCTGCCCTGGGTGCATCCGTCCCATGACCCCAGAGCAGCAGGCCAGGTCCTGGCACACGCTTCCCTGCTGCTCCGTGCTGATGCCGGGGCTGGTCTCGGGGGCACGAGGGGCTCGAAGCTTGTCCAGCCTGTTTGCAGTGAACTTATCAGACTGGCCCCATGGCTCTGCTTTAACGAGTGCCAGGGTCAGGGGAGATGTGGGCACGGTTTCCTCTAGCTGGGTGACCGGCACTGCCTGCCTGTGATGCAGCCGCCTGCAGGGGATGGGGGAGCTGCTCCCCCCGGCCGGCTGTGGGGTTGCCGGGATCCCTGTGGTAGGAAACTGCTGGGCTGGCCACTGTCCTGGAGTTGGGCTGATGCTATTACCCCTGCCAGCACAGCGCCTCCTGCAGGTGTATAAGGAGCTCAGCCAGGCCTCTGGGCACCAATGTGCCCTTCCTCCTAGGAACGCCCAGGTTAGCCGCTTCCCTCATGTCCCCGTCACCCCGGTTCTAGGGCAGCAAGTCCTGGCCAAGCCAGCGTCTCTCCCAGCTGGGGGCCTGGAGCAACAGGCAGGGCAAAGATTTGCCCTGGGGGCCTGGCGGTGTCCCCTGGGCTTAGGGCTTTGATCAGTGTCTAGCTCCTGGGGTAAGTCCCAGCGCTGACCTCCCGCTCCGCTGGCCCAGTCTCCTGGGAACCACGTGTCTTGTCACACTGCGCCCTGCTGCTGCAGCTGAGCCTGTGCAGGGGCAGGCTGGGTGCATGGGAGGGGATGGAGGAGATGTCTCTGGTGCTGGTAATGGGCATCAGTCTGAGCTCAGTGGTCCGTGTTTCTGTCCCATCCTGCGGGCAATGATCTGAGCATGCCAGGGAGCCCATGTCACAGCTGTCACTAATTACCCCCTTCAAAGACCAGGGAGCCATGCCCCCTGCAGGTGGGTTCCCTCCAGTGCTGGCTGGGACCAGCTCCTCCTAAACTCCCTAGGGTAACATTGATTAAAGCGCCGAGTGTCGCCTGCTCCTGGCTGCACCTCGGGAATGGCGAGGGGGATGAAAGCTCCCAGCCATGTTCTCTGGGCTGCCTGGGCTCACAGCAGGGTCGGGGCAGCCCTGCAGGGGGACAGAAGAGACTGACATGGATGTTTAGGAACTTCCCAACAGCCTGCTTGTCCCTGCCCCAGCCGGAGCGGGCTGGGCTGGGATCTGGAGCGCCATTTAAACATCCCTCCCCCCATGAGCTGGCCTATCTGCGGCTGTTACCGGCCGGTGCATGGAAGGGGCAGCGGGCCAAGCCCTCCCTCGGGCGCCCCGAACATCGGCAGGGAGGGGAGCGTGGGCGCCGCTGGAGCTAAGTGGGAGCTGGGATTCAGGCTTGTCTCCTGGGGCTGCCTTTGTGCTGAGGGAGGTTCCGTGTCATTGCTCTGCGGGGGGGCATGTCCTCCCACACGCCCAGCTGCTCCCCCCTCTCGCTGGAGAGCAGCCCCGTGCACTGCTGTACAGCACCCTCCAACCTCCCCCCAGCAGAGCGCCCCGCAACCATCCCCCCGGTGCAGCTAGCATCACTCCCTGTGGGACTGGCCCAGGAAGGTGCCCGACCGGCCCCACAGAGCTCCTGCTGCTCCCATAAGGGGAGAGTTACAGCTCACGGCTCCCTCCCCCGCCCTGGTACCTGCAGCCCTCCTGTTCCGGTCCCCTTAGTGCTGCCCGGGGCCGAGCCCTGGGCTCAGTTGCTCCGTGGGGCTGAGGTGACTGACCCTTGGTGCCAGGCTCCAGGGCTGGTGACCTGGGACCCAGTGCTGCCAGGGGGTCTCTGGGGCAGACCCTCACCCAGGCCTGGCGGTTCCCAAGAACAGGCTGGCTCGAATCCTCCCCTCTGCTCTCCCTCCAGTCTAGTCCCGCTGAGGTCTCAGGTCGCTGGGGGGGTGTCACCTGCCCGCTAGACAGAGGCTGCAGGTGGCCACGCTTGGCTCAGCTCGAACGGTTGGGGTTTATTTTTTTAAAAGGCTTTTACAAAACTGAATGGAACCAGGAATGTCATTAAAAATCCTTCAAAGCAGTGGTTTGGTTTGGCTGTAAGGTCAAAGTGTCTGGCTAAGGGGGCAAGCGGCGGGGGGGCCGGGCAGCGAGGGGGCTGGGGGAGCTAGGGGGCTGCAGGCAGCAACTGAAAGCAAGACAAACCTGCAGCCCTGGTTTCACCGTCTCGGCTGAGCAGCGTCTCTGGGAACTGGGTGGTCGGAGGATCGGGAGGCTGGGCTCAGGCACCTGAATCCCTCGTGGAGCTTGAGCCCTGCAAAGTGCTGTAGGGACCAGGGCAAGTCGTGACCCCTGGAGCAGCAGGACAGGGGTAAACATGGCCCTAGGTCTTGGCAGGGTTGGGGCCCTGGGCGTAGAGCCAGTGGGGGAGGGAGCTCAGGCTGCTCGCTGCTGGATTTAGGAGCCTGTTGGCAGGGCCCCATGTTCCAAAGTGTCCCTCTCTCAAGTGCTAGGGGGACTTAAAGGCTGGGAGTTGTGGGGGCTCAGCAGGGCCGACTGGTGCCAGGGGAGGCTCTGGCCCCCTCGCCGTAGTCTAAAGGGCCATGCTGCCGGGGTGGGGGTGTGCCCAGCACCTGCGGCTGCCCTGGAGACAGCAGGAGACCCCAGCCCTGCGGCAGCCTCCTGGAGCAGACGCTGGCCCTGCCACCGTCTATCACCACCCCCTTCCTCGGCTCTGCTGAGCAGCGTGGCCATTGCCTGGCACTCTGCCCGGGGGAAGCGGAGGCACGTGCAGCACAACACAAAGCGGCATGAGAAGATGATCTGGGCTGGGGGTCCCTCGCAGGCAGCGGCTACAGGCACTTGAGGAGGAAGGTGTTGCAGGTGGCTCCGCGGGGGCAGTCGCACAGCCTGCCGATGCGGGCACCCTTCTTCACGGCGCAGACCTGGCCGATGGAGCACTGCGGGGACAAGGGAGGCAGAGCTGTAGGGCTCCCCCCGGCAGGGGCCTTTTGACCCTGTGCTTACAGCCGGGCCCCCGAAACCCCTCGGCAGCAGGGTCTCGGGGGTCAGTACGATCCCCCTGTGGGGCAGGGGCTGTATTCCGGCCTGCAGCACGCTGGGTGGGCACTGGCTGCCCAAGTGGGGGCTGGGCCCAATCCCAGCGTTGGCACCTCTGGTTAATTGCCCTTTCCCCATCACTCTAATGCAGTGGTCCCCAACGCGGTGCCCACAGGCACCATGGCACCCACCGGGGCATCTATGTGCGCCCCCGTACTGCCCGGCGGATGAGCATCCGCCGAAATGCCGCCAAGAAGCAGCGTCATCCAGAGGTGTCACCACCGAAATGCTGCTGATTTTCGAAGCCTATTGACGTTGCCGCTTCTCAGCAGCATTTCGGTGGATGCTCGTCCACCAGCCATGGTCCGCGGTGGCCTGTCGTCCGTCGCCCGCCAGACGAAAAAGGTTGAGGCCCACTGCTCTAATGGCTCCAAAATGCTCCTGTCTGGCTCTGCAGGGCCCGGGTCAGGCCCCCCACCCTGCACCTAGACTGCTAAAGCAAACCCTCGCCCTGGAGCGTGGCTGGTCACCGACGAATCCCCAGGGAGCACAGCAGGGTCCCACCAGCCAGGGAGCTGCCCCGGGCCTGCCCCTGGAAGAGGGACTCTCACAAACTCCGCTGGGCGGGCAGAGAAATGAAAGCTCAGAACTGCTGGGGCCTCAGTTACCCACATGGATCCTCTAGCCACGGAACCAGAAGGGGCCGGGTCAGCCCCGGACGGTACCTTGGGGACTTGGTTATATTTCTTCTCCCAGGTGGAAATCCTCTTGCTCTGCAGTTTCTCCAGCACGTCCTGCAGCTCCTCCAGCTGGGTGTGGTGTGAGACAAGGAGAAGGAGGACGGTGAGTAGCAAAGTGCTGCCCCCGGGGCAGGCTGGAGGAGCTGGTCTGCTGGAAATCCTGCCCCGCCCTCGCCTGATCCAGGGCTCCCGTCTTCACCCTCCTGTGAAACTGACACAGCCAGTTGGGGGGCTGAAAACTGCCTGCCCAGCCCCTCTCCCCCCATGCTCCCCTTTGCAGCAGACTGTCCCACCCAGCTTTTCACAGGGGAGCACAGGGACTGGGTTGTGACGCTGGCCAGCACCAGCCGCTTCAGAGAAAAGAGCAAGAACCCCGCAGTGATGGGGCGACGCTGCCCCCATTGGGTCTCCACCTGGCCTCTAAGAGTCTTTTCCTCCGGGGTTTGCATCGGGGCTGCCCTGCCCTTCTCCAGACTACCTCAGCCTTCGGGGCCGTGAGGGACCCCGGGGGTCACCAGGAGGCGCGTGTGCATGCAAGGACACAGGCAGCCAGGCTGGGGTGAATGCCCTGGCCCGTGGGAGGTGCTGGGGGGTGGCACGGCAGGTCGCGCCCGCGCCAGGCTGGAGATAGGAACTCACCAGTTGTTTCTCATGCGGCTGGTACGAGTGTTTCAGGGGTAAGTCCTGGGGTAGCCGGGCATCCACATCTGCCTCCTGGTGGGCCAGGAGAGCCAGGCAGAGCAGGACCATGGTGGATGGCTGCATGGCGGGGAGCTGTCCTCGGTGCTGGGGCAGGACTGGTGCCTGCTGCCAATGTGCCTCTCCGAGCGCGGGGAGAGACTGACCTGGCAAGCCGCGCGCCCAGCCCACGCACGGGGAGGGGGCTGAGGTTTGATAGGCTGGGGGCAGCACGCCAGGGGCTGGCACAGAGACCTCCTCCCCCATTGAGGGGGCGGGGGGCTGCTGCCAGGGCAGGCTGCGGGGAGTAGGATGAATGGAGGAGTCATGGGGGGGCTGGAGCCAGGCGCCCGAGGGGGCGTCAATATTTATGAGAGGGTTAAAATGTGTTTGGCGAAGAAGAGGGGAATTAAATGTAACAAATCCCTCGTCTGCCAGCTCCCGAGGGCTGCCCCTGGCAACGGGCAGCGAAATCTCTCTGTCAGTGTGTGTCTGTCCCCCCCCACGCCCGTCCATCCAGCTAATCTCGGTGTCTGGGTATCTATCCCCTCAGCGCTCATCTGTCTCTCGGCAGAGCGCTCTGGCTGGGCCCATGTGCGTCCATCTAGCTAATCACAGCATCTGTCTGTCCGTCCCCGAGGCGCCGGCTCCCGCACTCGGCCATGTCCACCTCTCCATCCTGCTGACAACTTGAGCTTGGGCCAAATCCCGAGGAGCTCGGCGATTGTTCGGCACGTGAGCCGAGAGGAGGCATCTGGCTGCCGGGGCTCTCCCGGGAGCAGCGCTTTCCCCTGTTTGCTGCGGGGTTGGAGCCAGCGTAGGAACAATAGACCCGTCCCTGCTCGGTTCGGCCCCAGGACAGATAAAATCCCACCCCAGCTCTGCTTGACTTTGCCAGGTGGGTGCTGGGCAGCTTTCCCCTGGCCCGTGTCAGAATTGGGCTGTGGGCACAGGGCCCGGGCCCCATTTGCAGCTGTCCAATGGAACCAGGTTACAAGTTCCTGCTGCAGACTGGGGGGTCCCCGAATGCACCCCGTCGCCAAGGTTACGCGCTAACCCTCGTGCGTCTGGCAGCTGCTGCCCTCCCGGGCCGTGAGCAGGGCTGCTGGCATCTGGGCGCCTTGGTGTTCCCAGCCGCCAGCCCGTGCCAGGCCCCGGGCAGAGACGCTGACTGCGCCGGGCTCCTGCCGGGCGCTCCCGAGCTTCAGGCTTTCCCCTCTAAGCCACTGGAGGAGGCTCCCGCCCACTGGGGGCCAGGGCACCCGGGCTCTACCCGCTGCCCTGCTGGGTGACGGCCCCGTCCCTGCCCCTCTGCCTGCCCTGGCTGTGAGCGTTTCGGGGCAGGGCCTGGCCCAACGGCCTCGAGCTCAGTCGTGCCCCTCGGGGGCTGCTGGATGGGGCTATCCTCGACTCCATGGGGCAGTGTGCCCGGCTGGACCAGGAGCAGATGGGCCCTTGTATGGACGGGGGGTTCTGGTTGCAGCTGCTGTCGCAGAGCCGCTCGGCCCCTCGGTGCCAGCCCCCCAGGGGACGCCGCCCCCCGTGGGACAGCGCCTGGCACTCGCCCATCCCCGTGAGCTCACCCTGGATTTGTGCCCAGTGCAGGGCCTGGGGACGCTGGGCAGAGCCAGTGCTGTGGGGAGGCAGGGGCCTGCGAGCTCCCCCCACACACAGCAGGTGGATCTGAGGTGTCATGGGGGGTTGGGAGGTCTCTGGGCAGCGCCTGGCACAACGGGTGGATCTGGGGGGAGGGGAAGAAACCCGGCCCCAGCCCTGCCCCACCAGCCTGGCATCGCTGCGTGAATGCTCCCCGGGCGCTAACAGGTGCCTTCCTGCCCACGAACTGCTAGAATGAGTCACTCCCCCGAGTACGAGGCGCCGGCCCGAGGGACCCCCCACCCTACACTGGCCCAGCACCAGCCCCCTCCATGCATCCAAATCAGCAGAGCCCTGAGCCGCCCCCCCCCCCAGCTTCGTGTGCCATGTGGCAGGTTATGTAAGGGATGGACAAGCCCAGCTAATCCGCCCCCCCGTAATCCTGCCAGTCTGCACTGGGATTAACCACATCCTGGGGGGCAGCTTCCTGTGGTGTGTCGGGTGCCTGGGCAGGGGGTGACCGGCAGTGCCCCGGGGTGGCTGATGGGGGAGCGGCACCAGTGGAGGTTGGAAGGGGGGGTTGGGGGCTCACAGCTGTGGATGAGCAGTTGGGTTTGAGGAGAAAAGGGGCTTGGTGGCCCCCGGGGGGGGGAGAGCCAGGGGGCACGAGCGGAGATGGGGATCAGCTCCATCCCATCAGCCTCTTGGTCTCTCCTGGCCCCCTGGGCCCTGATGTCAGGGGTCAGTGAGGCTGGCCCAGGAGCCTGGCTGCAGCCATGGCAGAGGTCATGGCCCGTCCCCGGGTCTGTCCAGTCACTAACGGAGCATCACAGACACCCAAGGGGGCTGGCGACTCGTGTTGTTCCTGGGGAAACTGAGGCACGAAAAGGGCAGCAACTTGCCTAAGGCCACGTGCTGAGCAAGTGGCAGAGGCTGGAATAGAACCAGGAGTCCCGGCTCTCTCCCCCCCCCCCCGCCCTGGTTTTCTGGAGCCAGCCCTGCTGCCGCCCCGCGCTGAGGGATGAGTCCCTGGGGGAGCCTCAGCTAAAAGCCATTAATATTAATCTGCCTCGCGCAGCCGGGGAGGGGCTCCAGGGCTGGGCTAGCAGGGGGCTGCAGGACGAGATTGAGGGGCACCATCAGAGTGGGGGCTGGGCTAGCAGGGGGCTAGAACCCCCCCATGGGGCTAGAACTCGGGGTCTCGGCTGGAGCAGACCCATCACGATGGCGCCCGGGAAGATCCAGTGCCACCCCTTCACCCCCAGCCCACAGCAGCCCCCGCCAGCCCCGGCTGAGCAGCCCCTTGGGCCCCCGAGCTGCCTCATTAGTGCAGAGCTGAGGTTCGGGGGCTCCCTGAGCAGCAGTATCTCGCCCACGTGGCCGGAAATCTCCTTCCCTGAGTGACGCAAATGCCCGGGGGCTCAGGGCAGGCGAGCAGGGGGGGGCTCGGCTGTCGGAGGGGAGGACGGGGGGGGGGCCCGGGCTGCAGCTTCTAACAGCTCAGCTGTGTGGGAATGAGCCTGGCGCTGCGGCCTGGCCCCTCCCCGTGTGTCGGCCCCAACGGGGGCCGGGGGGATGCCAACCGCCCCAGATCCCAACGCCCCACTGGGGGGCACGAGGGCCCAGGGCAGGGACAATGAGCCCCCGACAGCCTGAGGTCTCTAGCCAGGAGCTGAGTGGAGCCGGACAGGAGCCGGCCTGATGGGCGCCCAGAGCCCCTGACCCCGGCTGCTCCATGCCCAGGAGCCCCCCTGAACACCCAGTGCAGGCAGGCCCGGGGCTGCTGCGGGGCCGGGGCGCTCGGGAGGCAGCCGGCTCCCTGGGCACCGGAGGAGGAGGGCGGCGGGAGGCAGCGCTAACGCTGGCACTACTGGCTCTTTGCCATCTCTGTGTAGAGCCAAAATCCCGGGGCTGGGCCCTCGCCCTGCTCAGCCCATCAGCAGAGCCCTGCGAGGGCCGGAGCCCCCCGTGTCAGTCCCAGGTGGGGCCGGCGTCGGCTCAGGAGCTCCCGTGCCCTGTTCCCTCCAGCGGCAGCAGGACACAGAGCCTGGCCCAGCTGCACTGGGGCTGGGGGGCTCCCCTGGCAGCCGTGCTGACCCCCATGCCCTGGGGTCCTGTGCTGCAGGGTGTGGGGGAGGGGTGCGCTCTGTGCGAGGGGGGGCTGCGATTAGATATGACATTCACCCCGGCAGGTTGTGGTGTCTTAGCCCTGGCTCCAGCTCAGGTTTCCCCTTGTCGTTCCGGTTGGATCTGATCCTTTTCTTCACTTCTGGGCCCAATCTGTTGTGTACGTTGCTGTCGCACAGCTGCCAAGGCCCACCCCAGAGGTAGCTGCATTTCAGTGCTAGGTAAAGCAAACCCCATGTTTCTGCAGAGCCTGTTAGGTGCTTTGAGATCCTCACAGCAATGTGTTCTCATTCTCTGCGCCCGGAGCCGCCCGTCCCAGCCCAGCCCAGAGCCGGGTGAAAACTAAACAGGATAGTTTATTAACTAGAGACACCACCCGCCACTGGCACGGGGTAGGTGGGGCTCATAACAGAAAACAGCTGTGCCACTAGCACGCCCTGCGATATGACCCAGCTCCCTGCCATGCGCCGGGGGCAGGCTCCGCCCAGACCGGCCTTTTCCTGCGCCTGGTGCAGCCGGCACCATTAAAGTTTTAGTCTAAAACGGAACATTTCTAGCCCTTTTGGTTCCCACGAAACTCCCCCCCCCCCCCGGGTCAGCAGAGAGCCCAGAGAGAGGCGCCAGCAGCCTGGGGTACGGTGCTGACTCTGGAACCTAATGGTGGACAATTGCCTGGCTGAGCATTTTAGTAGAAACAGCTGGGCAATGTGGAATTGTGGGTGGAGTTTGGGGGTTGTGGGCGGAGCTTGACTGCGGCTACTTATTTCCTTCCAGTCAAAAGCCTCCTTGATAGAATTGAATGCGCACAACCTGCTTTCTTCTTCGCGAGAGCTCACCTTCCTGATGCTAATTTCTTGGCCCAAATAGACGTATTGCTCAACTTCTTCGATTGGTTCTCCATCGATTGTTATTCGGGCTTTTGGCCAGGTACCAGACCGCGTACATTTCGTTTTGGAGCGGTGAATTTTCAGTCCAACTTCGCTGCTTTTTGTGTTGAGTTCTCGTAGCATTTTCTCCAGTCTGGTAGTATTTTCAGCGATCAACACAATATCGTCCCCGAATCTGAGATGGTTTCACTGCTCTCCGTTGATGTTGATTCCACCCTCCCAATTCATCCGCCGCATTAACATTTCGAGGCAGGCTGTGAAGAGTTTCGGGGAAAGCGTCTCTCCTTGTTTCACACCGTTCTTACCTGGGATGCGAAGGGGGGTATCAAACAAAGTTCTATCCGTAGTGCCGTCAGCATTTGCTTCCTGTGTAGTTTGATCTAGTTTGTGTGGATGCCCTGCTCTGCGAGAGCTTTCAGCCCTGCACTGATCTCTACGCCGTCGAACGCGTTTTCATCGTCGACGAAGGCACTACAGGGAGGGAATGTGTATTCCCCGGAGCGTTCCAATCGCTGGTTTATAGGGAAAATATGGTGCATTGTGCTGAAACTCCTTCGAAAGCTGCTGCTCGTCCAGACTCTGTGGTGCCCCAGGGGACCCCTGGAGATGCTGTGCCCCCCGTCCCCCAGCCAGCCCTGGCAAAGCAGCTCTCCGGCCAGTCTGGTCCCTGCTGCCCCTCACATCTCGTCGGCATGGGCTGACTTAGCTGCGTCCCTGCTGGCTCCGGGTCCGTTCCCCTGGGGCAGCCCCATGGGAGCTGCCGGCTGCTCCAGCTGGGTCTGAGCGGACGTGTTTGTGCCCTTCTGGCTCCCGTCTGCCCCTTCCACTCCATCCTCCGCCGCGGCCTCGGGCCCCAGCTGCTCCCCCACGGGTGGTTCAGGCTCTGGGGCCGGCGGCTCCTGGGTGCCGGGGGCTTCGGCCAGTTCTGAGAACTCCCCCTGGTTCAGGATGTTCCTGGAGATCACTGGGGTGTGGGGGGAAGGGCAGCATTAGGGGCTGGCTGCCAGGGCGTGCCCTGTGCCAGGGGGTGGGGGCATGGGGGGTGCCCTGTGCTGGGGGCTGGTGGGGCAGGGGGCCCTGTGTCAGCAGGGTGGGGGTGCAGGGGGCCCCCTTGTGCTGGGGGGCCCTGTGCCAGTGGGGTGGGGGCATGGGGGGTGCCCTGTGCTGGGGGCGGGTGGGGCGGGGGGCCCCCTGGGGCCGGGGGGGCTCTGGGCGGGTGGGGGGGGGTACGGGGGGGAGACAGATGCTGTCTGTGGCCGGGTCTCTGGACAGATCCCTTTGGGCAGCGCCAGGCCAGGCAGCGCCAGGAATCCGCCCTGGAGGGGAACGGCTCCAGGGAGCTCATTGGAGAGGGTCAGCTCTGGGGCAGGGTGTTCGGTTCTGACCCCTCTCTGGGTCTATGGGGAAGCTCCGCCCGCGCCCCAGCTCAGCCCCGCCCCCCAGCTCAGCCCCACCCCCCAGCGTCCCAGCTGTTACCTCCGGTGGGCTGGTAGCCGTCCTGGCTGCCCTGCGCCCCCCTGCGCAGGGGGCTGTAGCTGGGGAAGATGATGAGTCCCAGGGAGAAGATCAGGATCTGCAGGAGGAGGGAGACGGTCAAAGCCCAGCCCCTGTGCAGGAGCGGGGGGGTGGGGGTTGCTCGGGGGGGGTCAGTGGGTGCACAGCGGGGCCCGGGCTGTGTGGGGCTCTGAGCACGGGCACGGCCCTAGCTCTGCGGGTGTGCACAGGAGCGGGACTGTCTGGCTGTGCAGGGCTGTGCGTAGACGTGGATTGTGCGCAGTGCTGTGTGGGTGTCGCCGTGCGTGGGGCCGTGCGCTCTGTGCCGTGTGTGGGGCCGTGCTCTGTGCCGTGCGCTCTGTGCCGTGCACCCTGTGACGTGCGAGGCGCCACGTGCTCTGCCATGCATGGGGCCATGCGCTCTGTGCCATGTGTGGGGCCACGTGCTCTGTGCCATGCGTGGGGCCGTGCGCTCTGTGCCTGCCCCGGAGCAGGCCGTCGTGGGGCCGCGGGCGCGGGAGCTTGGCCCATACCAGGACGCAGGTGCTGGTCTGCGCTGCCTTGCTGGACATGGGTTTGATCAGCGCTTGCAGCTTTCGCAGCTGGCCCAGCAGAGACCTGTGGGGAGGAGACAGCGTCCGAGGGGGGCTCCTGAGGAGGGAGGGGCACAGAACCCAGCAGCGAAGCCAGGCGGGTGCTCACCCACTGGCCTTTGTGCCACCATCATGTCAGGGACCCCTTGCATCACCAGCCACCCTCCAACACCCCCGCACCTTCCAATGGCTTCCCCACAGCTCTGCTAATGCACCCTGATCCTTGGGGGCTGGGAGCAGGACTCCTGGGTTCTCTCCTGGCTCTGGGAGGGGAGTGGGGTCTAGCGGTTAGAGAGGGGGGGCGGGGGGCTGGGAGCAAGGACTCCTGGGTTCTCTCCCAGCCCTGGGCGGGGCGTGAGGGCTGGTGGATTTATTGCACTCACAAATTGTGTTTCTCCAGCTCCTGCACCTTCTTCTGCAGCTGCTGGTTCTGGGCTGAACATGCTGCCACCCTGCCAGGAGAAGAGAGCAAGGGGGGTTGGGGTCCCTGCCGGCTGCCCTCCCAGAGCCCTCCCTGCCCCCGCACGCCCAGACACCTGGCGCCCGTGGCACAGGCTCTGCCGGAGAAGGGTCAGCTCGGCAGTGGGGGACACTCCGGTGTCTGGCTCTGAGCAGGGCCGGCAGTGCCCTCGTGGGGGGGGGGGGGCTGTGCGCGGGGGGGGCCTGCTCTCACCGGTTCTCCAGCCCGTCGATGTATTCCTTCTTCCGCCGCCGGCTGTCCTGGGCCGACTGCTTGTTCCGGATCTTCCTCCGCACCTTCTTCAGGAGCCGCTCCTCGGCCTGGGGGGCAGACGCCGCCTGAAAGCTCAGCGGGGCCGTCTCCCCCTGCCCTCCAGCAGCGCTGCTCACGTCCCCCCAGGCTTCAGGGGTCCCAGCTGCAGGGAGCTGGTTTGGGGGGGCAAGTCCCTGTTCTTGTCTCTGGTCTGAGCCTCCCCAGGGCTCCCCCTGCCCTGAGGGTTAACAGCCAGGTCTCTATGGCTGCAGCCCTGCCTGCCCTGGGCATGAGGAGGGCTCCCAGCCCACAGGCCCTGCAGGGGCGGGTAGGGCCAGGTGGGTGGAGCTGGACTGGCCACTCCCTGCCCTGGGGCCGGTTTGGTGGAGCTGGTGAGTCCTAAAACCTGCTGGCTGCATGCCCGAGGCAGGACGGGCTCTGCCCTGCAAACGCGCACCAGCAGTCACCCTCTCCTCTTGAGCCTGTGCACATGGGTACGCTCACGGGCCCTCGTGCACGCTCCTTGCACGCTCCGAGGCACGCTCAGGACGGTACTGGCTCCCACCCGCACACTCACGCCCGCTGGCTCCTGTACCTTGGTGAGGGGCAGGTTACTGGGCAGGGACACCCCCTCTTGCGAGAGCAGCCGCTTCTCCTCGTCCGTCAGGAACAGATCCGGGAACTGCAGCTGCTGGAGAGAATCACTTTCTGCAGAGCCCGGGGCGGGGTCCTCCCTCCCCTTCCCCCAGCCCCCCACATCCCTCAGGGCCGGGGAGGGGCACGACTCTCTCTGATCCCAGAGAGGGTTTGGGGAACGGGCAGCACCTCGGGCACTGTGGGCAGCTGCTCAGCTACAGGTGGGGGGCAGGGGGCTGTGGGCTGGGACCAGGGGAAAACCAAGTGTTTTCCTTGCTGCTGGGGGCAGGGGGGAGCCGAGCCCTGCCCGGCCCTTCCCCCCTGCTGGAAAGCTGGCTTGGACAGTCCAGCATGAGGAGGGGGATCCTGAGCCGACTCACCAGGGCCACAGCTGCCTGCATGTCCCCAGCGCTCACCACCATGGGCACCGTGCCAGGCCTGGCCAGGGCGGACGGGGGTGCAGACGGCAGCTCATTCACGATGCAGGCGTCAGGGATCAGCAGGGGGGACGACCAGTCACCTGGGGCCAGAGACACAGCACGGGGGTCAGGGATGAGGCAGGGATGGCTGCTTCCCTGGGGCAGAGCCCCCTCCCGTGTGCCCAGCCTGGGACAGGCGGGGCAGGAGTGCGGGGAGCGCTAAGGCCGGGACTGAGTGGGGATTCTGCTCCTCTGGCCCATCTCCACGGCCCACCTCCACCCGGGCGAGCGTCCCTGGGTGTGGGGGCCTGAGATGCTGCCCTCAGCCCCTCCCCCCACCTCCCTGGTTCCCAGCTGGGAGGGGGGAGGAGCTGCTGGGGCTCGGGGCCGGCGGGGGCTCAAATGCTGATTCTTGTTCCTGGGGTGAGGGGCAAAGGCCCGGGGTGACGTTGGGGCTCTGGGGTACAAAGTGCAGCAGACAGACAGACAGAGAGATGGGGGGGCAGTGGAATGGATGGACAGAGGGGCAGGGATGGGAGCTCCCAGCATGCAACGTGGTTGGTTACATGGCTCAAGCTGCCCCCTTGCAGGCTGGGAGCGCTCATCTCCGCCGGTCGCCCCATCGGCAGGACAAGGGGCAGCAGTGGGGCAGCGTGGAGCATTCGGGGGGACGACTGACTCCCCTCGGCCTAAGGCTGCACTCCACCCCCACTAAACAACAGCCTGGGAGGGGCAGGGAGCCCAGCGCTGGCGTCTCCGCTGCTGTGATCCGTGCCCAGAGCCAGCCGCCCTGGACAGCGGAGGGCCGGCTGCCCCCCGCCACGCTCACCCAGCTGGATGGAGACCACGTCGCTGTGGAGGGGGGCGCTCTGGTCACAGAAGGCGGCGGGGGCCCCCTCGCCGGGCTGGGGGCTGGCCGAGCTGGGCTCGTCCGAGATGCCGCTGTCGCTGCCCGGGCTGTACACCTCGTTGGGGTTGATGAGCACGTTGAGGAAGTCCTCGGGCTCACTGTCGTTCAGCCCCTGCAACAGGCACCGGGGACGTTGGCTGGGGCCGGCAGCCCTGGCCTGCCCGGCACGGGAGGCAGCCCAGGCTGGGCTGGTACGTGGCTGGGAGATACCCAGGAGCCGGAGGGGGCACCTTGGGGTTGTGGGCAGTGCTAGGCCCCGGGCCTCGGAATGGGGCTGGGGCGCCCAGGCCCTGCCTGCTGGCGCTTTCGGCAATGCCATGGCCCGTCTGCCGCGAGTGGGGCCTGACCTCCCTTGCCCGGGCCAAAGCCCAATGGGACCCTTCTCCGGCCCCTGGCTGCATGTGGTGGGACAGCTGCTGGCTCCCTCCCCAGAGGTGGCTGCCTTAGAAGGCTGGCAGAGAGGGATCCCCCAGGCAGGGAGGGGCAAGGCCAGCCTTACCCCCCCCTCAGGGAGGCAGGCAGGGCCCCATGGGGCTAAGGACCTGGGGCAGGGCCCTGGGAAGCGCGGACCCCACGACCTGGGCTATGTTGCTCCTGCCCCCGTGCTGCAGAGCAGGCCACCTGGGCTAGTGTCTGAGCCCCCGGCTTGCCCTTCCCCTCCCCACTCTGCATTCGGCCTCCGACTCACGCTGCCCCCGCTGACTGCCCACTCCTCAAAGCCCTTCTCCAGGGCGGGAGCCTGCTCTGAGAGGGCGAACGGGGGATCTGGGCTCCGTACGGTGCTGCTGGGGAACGGCTCGAAGAGAACAGCCTGGAGTGCGGGGCTGCCGGGCTCCCCCATCTGGGACGGACAGACAGACAGACAGACAGAGAGCAGGTCAGGCAGTGTCACTGCCCCCCTCCCCCCGCCCCGAGAGCACCAGGCACCCCGCGCACCCGCAAGCCTGGCTGGGCGTCCCCTTGCACGAGTCTCACCTGTGGTCTGTGAGCGGGGCCCGTCATGTGCAGTACAGGGCCCGGCGCTGCTCCCCCCGAGCACCCCTCTGAGCACCTGTGGGTCACACGCTCGCCACACCGCCGGACACGCAGCGTACATGCAAACTCCCATGGCACATGTGCACACGCACACAGTGAACATGCGTGCAGAGCCACACACGTGTGTACACACACACACGGGAAACACTTTCTGCTGGTTCACAAAGCCCTGGCTGCGAAGCTGAGGGTCTCCCAGGAGGTGCCTGGGGAAGTCAGTCCCTGTTCTCGCTGAGAGCGGCGTTTCTAGAATCCCCTGGTACCTGAGCGCCAGGCGCCGGCTGGGAGTGGCCGGGGGGCTCCATGCCCCGGTGCTGGGCCCCCAGGGCTGGGCCTGGGGCGATTATGCGGCACAACCTACCTTCGCCTTGTTCCAGGGAGCAGGTTGGTACCCAGCCAGACTGGTTGCACCGAACACTGAAGCCTTTTGCTTAAGACCAGGATCTCCGGCATCCTGGACAGCCCCAGCCAACGCCCACGCCGGGGCCTTAAAAGGGCAAAGGGCTCCTTGGCACCCAGTGCACCCGGACGAGGCTGGGGCTTTAGCTGCCAGCGTGTGTGGCGGGTGGAGGCTTCGGGCCTGGGTGTTGGCAGTCAATGGACTGGATTTCCCTGCAAGGGCCCCGGGCCCAGAGACACAGGGCTGCAGCCCCAGGACTATGCCTGGGGAGTGGGGAGCCCTGCAAAGAGGGGGGCAGGGGCTGTGGGGAGAGGGCCATGGGTGTTGCTCTCCAGCGCCCCTCTGGCAAAGGGAGGCGCGTCGGTGCGGGGTGCCCCTTCCTTACGCATTGTCCCCGGTGCTGCTCAGCCCCGTATTTCTCCCCGGCCCCTCGGGCTGGGGCGGCAGATCGGGGAGGGAACAAGCAAACAGGCCAGGTTGTGGTGTCCTGTGTGTGTGACAGCTACAGCACTCGGCCAGCACAAGCCTGGCCCAGTGACCTGCGGGAGCCTCATGCTGTCCCTCCTCCCAGGCTTAACCCAGGCCCCGCATCCTTCCCGGCATGGCCAGCCCATTGGGCAGCAGCACCACCCACCCTGCCGGCATGCACCATGGCAGTCCATGGCAGGCACCCGCCCAATCACACACTGGGTCACGTGATCGCTCACACACACAGGGTCACACGTGGAGTCACATGATCTTCTCACACACTCAGGGTCACACGTGGAGTCACATGATCTCTCTCACATACACAGGGTCACACATGGAGTCACATGATCTCACACACACACAGGGTCTCTCTCACTCTCTCACACACTCAGGCCTTGGCTACACTGGCGCTGTAC